CGAATATTTCATTTAGTTCGACATATATTTTATTAAATTTATTTCGTATTGTTATTATCATCTTAATTTGGTTTATTTGATCATTTATATACCATTCTAAGATATTTGATTATGCGATTAAGCAGTTGATGTGAGTTGAAGTTTCAAATAAAATGTCACATCTCAAACCGAGACACACTCTAATAGAACTCGTTCCGTATGACCTTTTATTCGAAGTATACACTTTAAGACCAAAATTGTTAAGTTTCTGCAAAATTATTAAAATAAAAATCCAATGACATCTAGAGAATCCTTACGTAACCAAACTAAAATTTTATATTATATCTCATCCAAATTTTAAAAGTTTCTACAGTTTTCGTTAGACCCATTTGAAATTTATAAAAATTAATGCAAATGTCAATAGAAAAACTACTTATCATATCTTGATAATTATCTTTATAATTGTTTCCATCTAATAAAATTAAATGAAATGGACAAATATACTTAGTTGTTATATAAATTATTTAAGTGGATAACGACCAATACTCAAATGTTTTCTTTGAAAATCACTCACTATAATATGATTTGTGATTAGACTCTTTATTTGTAATTCTAGTAACAAACAAATATTAAAAGTGATTAATCAATTATCTGTTCCGATTTATCTATCCTTTATACTTTTTCAAATTTACGACCAAATATAAAATAATTAAATTCTATTTTTTTTCATGAACCTTTTAATTTTTAAAATTTTTTATGTTCACTTAATAAATAAAGTATTTAATGATAATTATTGTGTTTCACAATATGGACAGCAATGCGTTCTTCACGTTCCAGCTCTCCTTCTTCTTCCCGAAATCCCGTAAAACTCTTATTTCTCTCACCAAAGCTCTCCAAAGTCTGTATAAAGTCTGTGTGTCCCTTTTGGACGTCTGTAGAGTCTTTTTATAAACCCTAGGCGGCGCTCCCGAAGTTCTATTCCCGATCAAACTCTGAAAATTCGAATCTGGGCTTTTTCTGGGTTTTGACTCGGACCGAGTCAGTACTCTGACTCGACCGAGTCAAAACGAGACATAAGAAATTCGGCCCAGCCCAATCTTCTGACTCGGACGTTCTGACTCGGGCATGTTGACTCGGGGTAGTCTGACTCGGACGTTCTGACTCGGACTCCTCGTAACAGGCTTGAATTGGGCCATTTTCAGCGTGTTGACTCGGCCCACTTTCCATGGTTGACTCTGGCCGAGTCAGGATAGGAAGTTCTTGATGTATTCCATCCTTTTAGCTCCAGATTGCTTCCATCTTGGTCCGAATCTCATCCAAGACCTGTAATCCAATAAAAACACAACCAAACCGAGTTCCGTAGCCTAACGCGCCCATAATGCCTACAAATGAACATGATCCTCATGTAAATCCTATAAAAACGTCCAGGAAATATAGAGAGAATTAGGAGTTATCAATTGCTTTAGCCCAAAACGTATTGGCCAATACTGCAGCTCTCATCATTGCCCTTGTTCTTTCCAACAGGGTTATGTTCATCCGCTCTACTACACCATTTTTGTTGTGGTGTATAAGCCACCGTGAACTGCCTCTTGATACCTTCTTGTTGACAAAACCGGTTGAATTCATCACCGGTATATTCTCCTCCATTGTCTGATCTTAGACACTTGTTCTTCATTCCAGATTCAAGTTCGACACGTGCTTTGATGATTTTGAAAGATTCAAATACATCTGACTTCTTCTTGATGGGGTATACTCAACATCTCCTGAAGTAATTGTCAATAAAAGATACAAAGTATCTTCCACCTCCTAAGGATGTCATTAGTGCTTGCCAAACATCAGAATGAACCAAGTCCATGACAACCTTGCTTCTAGCAGTTGAACTGCTAAACTTCAATTTGTGTTGCTTACTTGTAACACAATGCTCACAAAAGGGTAATGTCACCTTTTTGAGCCCCGGGAGAAGATTTCGTTCTGCAAGAATCTTCAAGCCTCGTTCCGGCATGTGATCAAGCTTTTTGTGTCACAACATCGTCGATTCTTCTGTTCAAAAGGGTTGTAGAAAGAGAACCCGGCCCCCTATTTCATTCGCTTTGCCAACTTAATCTGATATGTTCCAAGATCTTGATTATGCGGCACTTGTTTGTAATACCCCAAAATCCGATCCGAATATTTAATTGATTTCGGGATAAATAATTAAATGGACAAGGCGAAAAAAAAATCATAAAAAAGGAATAGTATAGTACCAAGAGAAGGCACAGAAATCGCCACGTGCGAAGAGACGAGAAAAAGATAAGAAAACGCGGAAACTTGTCCAGATCGACTGGTCTAGGGGGTAGACCGACTGGTCCAGGGTTGAACCGAGGTCAGACCGAGCGAACTGAGGCATGCGAAGAAAAACTGAAAAATTGATCCAGACCGACCGGTCCAGAGCCAGACCGAGCAGTCTGGAGAACAGAGGACGCAAGTGGCCGACTTGCCACCTTGGTTCGCATTTTCTCGGCAGAATAGGGGCCCACCAACGTCAAATGGTTGCCCAATTGATTCAGGACGCCGCAGGTTCCACCATGGGCCTGGGCTTGAGCCCATTCCATCTCCCTCACACGCCATAAACTCCTCCAATGTCTGGGGGTTGGCCATTGGTAGAGATATTGCTGAAAAGAGAACAAGAGAGAGGGAGAGAAAGGGGAAGAACCAACGCAAAGGGAGCTCGAAAACACGAAGGAAGACATCCCTAGAGTGTCTAGAAGAGATTTCCGACGAGAAACACATTGGAAAGCGGTAACAAATTCAGTCAAAACCAGATCTGAGCCAAGAACAAGGTGAGTGACTTGAGTTCGATCTGTGTGAACTTGTTTTCATCGTGTGATCTTCGATGATTTCAATGAACATTTAAACAACAAACGAGACTTGATTTGGTTGAGAAATGAGGGAGAAATTGTCAAACAAAGTCGGACCAGAAGCCTGTTTCGTGAAGAAGACGAAGTCCAGGTCGCAGACCGACCGGTCTGGGATTAGACCATCCGGTCTGACCTGGGAGGCCTTAGACCGACTATTCCAGACATGGACCGACCGGTCTGGACTCGCGATTACAGAAACCTTAAACAGACGTCTAGACCAACCAGTCCAGGGTACAGAATCCACTTTTCGGAAAATTTTGGATTGGTTACGCGTAGTGAGATGTGCGATCTAACGATGAGTGAGACTCGTTGCATGAATATCTTGGGTAGGTTCGATGTGTGCCATGTTTGTACCAAGGGTATATGTATGCTCGATGTGTGCCAGGGGTATATGTATGCTCGAGACCGAATATCGTGATACACATGATTGTACCAGAGGTATATGTATGCTCGATGTGTGCCATGTTTGTAGCTTGCTTGTGCGACGTGAGTAAAGCGTGATTGTGTATGTATTTAGTCGTGTGCGACGCGACGGCCAACGTCACGCGAGGTGACAGGCGCGTGAGGTGCTCCTAGTCATGCTGACTTGGCTAGGGTTCATGGCTAAACCCTATGGTGGACTCCATACGGGTGTGATTGTGATACAGTTGCGTGCGATGCGACAGCGAACGTCACGCGAGGTGACGGACGGGGGAGGCGCTCCTAGTTATGCTAACTTGATTAGGGTTATGGCTAGACCCTATGGTGGACTCCATACGGGTGTGATTGTATTTCCGTTGTGTCATGGACTTGACATCGGTAGTCATGAGACGTGATAAGCGTGTGAAACGCGTGTAATCGCATGCGATGCGATGACCAACGTCACTCGAGGTGACGGACGTGTGAGATGCTCCTAGTCATGCTGACTTGACTAGGGTCTATGGCTAACCATATGATGCGACGTCATATGGGTATGATGTGATTGTGACTGATGTGATTATTATTGTTTTCATGTTGATTGTGAATCATCGGTTGACACCGTTCTCGTTGAGAACGAGATTACCGGGTTCAACCCGGGCTACTCACTAAGCAGTTGTGCTTAGCCCTCGTGGTTTTATCTTTTCCAGATCACGATGAGTACGCATAGCGCATCTAGACGATGACGACTTGAGAGAGATAACATCATGTACGGGTTTTATATTTTGGATTGCGGGACTTGTATTCCTGCCTTTTGTACAATTGTACTATTTGATATTCGGACATGTGTTGTTTTGCGACGTCGATCACATGATGTATTTTCCACTGCTTACTCTGGTTTGATAAAATGTTTTGGGATTTCGTATTTTCACTTCCGCGTTTTATTATTTTATTATCATACTCGTCCATGTGGCACAACCTGTATACTGTATACGGGTTACGAGTATCATATTGCTTCTCCTTCCCGTAGTGTCTCTCCTTTAAGCATGTACAGATTTGTTGTCACATTTTCCGCTTTCATCATCACAAGTGCATCTTTGACAATAGTCATGATAAAAAAAATTAATTTCTTCATAAGATTTTATTAATTTTTTCATAAAATTTTATTAAATTTTAAATAAAAATTGTTAAATACATTTATAATAATAAAATTAAATTTTGATCCATAATAAAAATTAAAATTTCAGGTTAACTCGCGAAGTGGATCTATTTTTTAACTTTTGAGATTTGTTTCTATCCGTATTCAAACCTACCCCTCATATTTTACGTAATGCTAAAATTGAAAAATAGAATATCATATTTGGCGTTTTAGACTTCTTAGGCTTTTTTTTTCGTCTAATATTCTTTTATCAATCCAAATGTTATCATTGGGCGTGGTTTTAATATTTATCTACATACTTATATTTACAAGAAAAAAAGGTATATATTTTGAATATTGTGTTGAATTTATGAGTCGGTGTTGCACTTGCGACCCGCTCGTTTAACTCACGAACCAAATTAGTTAGAGCAAATGGGCCTTAAATGGGTCGGTATTGCTAGCATTTTCAGTTACTAAATTATATATAAATGGAATCCATGGGCCTTAAATGGGCCATTGAGTTTCGGCCCGAAAACTAACGGGAAACCACTTTCTGTACCTTTGTTTATATACGTCTCCTAAATTAGGGTTCCTCGTTGTTGTAAGCTTCAGTCGCTGCCTCTTTCGCATCTGTATCTCCCACATTGCCTCAAGCTTCACGTGAGAGCAACCAGCCATGGCCGAGCAGGTTTCTAGTCGTCGTATTTGAACCATCCGCCTTCTCCGTTAACTTCGTCTTTTTCGATGGTCGATCTTAATTCCTTAAACTCTTCTCTTGGGTTTTGTTTTCTGCAGACCGAGAAGGCTTTCTTGAAGCAACCCAGGGTTTTCCTATGGTAATATGCGGGATAAGAGTTTATACTTCTGCGTGTTTTTCGTTTCTGAGTTTGTCCAATTTTTTTGATTTTGTTGTGGTTTTTCATAACTCAGCTCGAAGAAAACTGGGAAGGGGAAGAGGCCCGGAAAGGGTGGAAACCGCTTCTGGAAGAACGTTGGTCTTGGTTTCAAGACCCCTCGTGAAGCCATTGAAGGTGTGGCTTTTTCTTCCAAGCCTTAGCTTGATCCACTATCCAGTTTTCAATCTGAACTTGGTTTCATTGTTTTGTTAGTTTTAATGAATATGCTAGTTTAATTGTTCTTACGTTTCCTAACATGGTCGGTCAATATGTTAAACTCGTGGTATTTGTTCTTAAAAGCTGTCAAATTCATTGTAAAGCTTTCTTCTTTTCACGTTATTGAGAGAAATTTTGGAGAAAAGGGTAGATTCCGATATTTGATGAGGAACAATGTCTTTTATATTTATGTTGTCTCTTCTGTTGCTACTGTTGCAAGTAAGTAGTGTTTTCCTGTAGTTTCTTTGGGTGAGATGATCTCTACCTGCATTTAGTTGCGTGTCTGGTTTTGTGATTAATATGTGCAATTAGCCAAACTGGGTTGCCTTGTAATTGAATATAAGTTTTAGTAACCACTTTGGTTGATGACTCGGTTGCGATTTAGAGTCTGGTTTCTACATTAGAATCTAACCTATGGTTTTATTGCATCTTGGTTAAGCTCGAGGGTCACATATTGGGATTCTGTAGATGGGTGAATAGAATGGTATTTTTAATGTTCAGAGAATAGGTTTAAGTATCTGATTTGGTGTCAATTGTGTTTCAACTTGTTAGAATGATTTCTCTTTTTTCCCATCGTGACGTAACGGTGTTGATTACGTCTTGATCCAGGAACATTCATTGACAAGAAGTGCCCGTTCACCGGACCTGTTTCAGTCAGAGGCCGCATATTGGCCGGTACTTGCCACAGCGCCAAGATGCAGAGAACCATTATTGTACGGAGGAATTACCTTCACTTTGTGAGGAAATACCAAAGGTAGCTTTTCGGGCTTACCTGGGTTTTTATGTATAACGAGAATATCTAAATAGATGTGACAAATCTACCCTTTGTCCACAGGTACGAGAAGAGGCACTCCAACATTCCGGCTCACGTCTCCCCGTGCTTCCGTGTCAAGGAAGGCGACCACGTCATCATTGGCCAATGCAGGTACAGTTTCTCTTTGGTTCTACATGTTGAATCGCCAGTTTTTTTGGCAGATGCTGATGTCTTTATGAATTGATGGCAGGCCGTTGTCAAAGACGGTTAGGTTCAACGTGCTGAAGGTGATCCCAGCCGGTTCGGCCGCCGGTGGAAAGAAGGCATTCACTGGGATGTAAGAGTTTGATCAGTCAGTAGTTTGCTTTTCTGGATAGAACCGAACTCAAAACGCTGTTTTCAAGTTTGTGTAAGACAAATCATTTCGAGTGTTTTGTTGCGCACGATTTTGTCTATTTCGGGTTTTTTTTTAATCAAGGTTTCAAAGCGTTACTCTCTCTCTTTCCTACTGTGCTAGTCTTTATTCGATGGCAAGTAACGTTTCAAGGCTCGTTTGGTTAAGAGGAAGAATATGAAAATGCTTAGAACTGTCGCTATGCGATCGCTTCGTCGCATTGTGTCCGTCCGTACGGAATTTATGTAAGCAGTGGAACTTGCCACAATCGGTTTTTATTTGATTTTTGTATTGAATTTGGTCAAGTGGTATTGGATTCGGCTTTGCATAGCCACCAATCAAATACCCAAACTTTTCATGACACTCGATCTCAACCTCACGTTCGTGCTTCTCAGTTAGACTATCCGGTTTCAAAATTGTAATGATCGAGTACTCGAGTTTCAGACACCCGCGAGATATCCCGAATGCTTACGCATCCGAGAGAAGCGAAGGCCGAGGCTCGAGGGTGAGGACAACACGACAAGAATATTACGGCCTCACATCCTAAACTCTAATCTCCCGAGACCCTTCTTAGAAAACCCTAATTCTATTCGTTTCGACACTCGGGTTACCCATGCATATTATCCATAACCGCAGGGCGAAACCCAAATCTGATTCCAAAAGTCAGCCTTCTCACCGTCGCAAAACCGGTACTCGTTCCACCGTTGAACGAGTATCCGATTCGCGGTTCAAATCAGATACTCGAAATTCCGGGTTACCATTACCAATATGACCTCGTAACCACAGTCGTTGCAGCCGATCTCGGAACACATGACTCGATAGGAGTGGCTCCGGGGGCCGCCTTTTTCATACCCAAACTTTTCATGACACTCGATCTCAACCTCACGTTCGTGCTTCTCAGTTAGACTATCCGGTTTCAAAATTGTAATGATCGAGTACTCGAGTTTCAGACACCCGCGAGATATCCCGAATGCTTACGCATCCGAGAGAAGCGAAGGCCGAGGCTCGAGGGTGAGGACAACACGACAAGAATATTACGGCCTCACATCCTAAACTCTAATCTCCCGAGACCCTTCTTAGAAAACCCTAATTCTATTCGTTTCGACACTCGGGTTACCCATGCATATTATCCATAACCGCAGGGCGAAACCCAAATCTGATTCCAAAAGTCAGCCTTCTCACCGTCGCAAAACCGGTACTCGTTCCACCGTTGAACGAGTATCCGATTCGCGGTTCAAATCAGATACTCGAAATTCCGGGTTACCATTACCAATATGACCTCGTAACCACAGTCGTTGCAGCCGATCTCGGAACACATGACTCGATAGGAGTGGCTCGGGGGCCAGCTTTTTGCTGGCTAGAATGGAAACAGACTTCATACTGCATAAATCTCGGTCTAAAAACTCGTTCTTCTAAAGGTCTCTGAACTCAAACCTAACACTTCGGAGAGATTTCCACAATACGGCATGAGAGAAACAAGTAAAGAGTCGTAAACAACAAAAGAAAAAGCGGTACCTACTTAGATTTGATTCTAAGTGTTTTTTTATCAGATCATTTGGAAATCAGCCGTCTGCTGGGCAAGTTCCACCACCATGGCCTCGTCGAAGAACTTGTTGATGCTCACATCTTCACTCATTCCCTGCAAAAACCCGAGAAACACGGTTTTACATATCATAATATTACGATCACTTATGCATTTTGCATGATGTTCTACTAATGATCAGGATTCTTCTGCACAAATCCCTAGAATCCAATGTTTTAGGACTTTGATGTGTGATTATACAAGTAAAGGAGTAAAAAATCTTGCAACATGAATTTCAGAACAAGGTATCATAAGGAGATTCTTCAGTGAGAAAGAGCACCTTTCTACGTCGAGTCTTCACCATGAATTCACGGGCGAGATGCTGAATAGGAGCAGGTTCAAGTGGGCGTAACACGATACTCTTGTCAAGAGGGTCTCCTGGAACTATGGCCCAATGGTCAAATACCGATACGCAAAAGGCCTGTCCCTGTGTGTGATACCTCAGATCCGTCTCAAACCCAAATGATTCTATTACGGGTAGGAAAGCCTGAATGCCCGAATCAATGAAGAAAAGGAGTAAATACCAGAGAAAAAAAACGAAGATTAGGATCACAAAAAAGACGCAAAAGAAGCAAGAAAACTCAGTATGGGTATAAAAAAGGATGAGGGAAAGACCTTCACGATATAAGCAGGGGTACCCGGCTGAGGAACATCAGAAGTAACATGCCCACGTCTACGTGACAGTACCGTGTAGATTGCAGTTACACAGTCAATCGGAGTTTGAATCTGAGACAGTAACAATTATGATGACACTAAGTCAAATAATGCATAGGCAGCAGAAAGAGAAGGCAATGAAAAGAGCAAGATTAGCAAAGTTCCATTTGTAGCGAAAGCTCAAACGTATCGTCAATGGCGAATGCGATTAGAAAAGGATAATACCTCTACATAATACACGGGCTCCATTAGCCTGGGAGTTGCCATAAGAAAACCTGAATATGCCACACGACGTGCAGTGGGAATGATTTGACCAGATCCCCGATGCAGCGGCTCAGGAGCAATCCTTGCATCAACTATCTTGAACTTAACATTTCTGATAGGCTCGTCACAAAGAGGTCCTTCTCTTGCACCCCACTGAAACCTGCAGAACACAAAAGAAGATCAGACAATAGCAAACGAATTGGTGGCAAGAGAAAAAAAAACCGTACGATTCGAAAAGAAAAAGGATTACCCTTGAACAATCGAATCCTTGACTGCATTCAACAAATTTTTGTCAACCTCAGTTGGTAGGGTGTCATCCAATAGGATATTAGGCCCCTGCTTGTTAAGAAATCAACAGTTTAACATATGAAATCAACATACTAATCCAACGATGTCAGACCTCTACTCAGAAAGCAACCATGATGATCAGGAAGGCATGAAGACAGCAGAAAGCCGACAGAAAACAGATAAGGAACAGGCTCTTACCTGCTTGTCAGGGCCAAATGCCCAAATGGAACGTGCTGCAAGTAAATCCCAGTCATACTTTGTCTTAAAGAAGTCACCTAGTTGTTTTCTGTTCCAATCAATGCTTACAACACCATTCTCAATGTCCTCTGCAAGTCCTCTATCCAGTGGCTCCGCAATCTTAGACATTAAAATAATCACTCGATTAATCAAAATGTAATCACAGTGACTTTCTAGGCACAAGCCCTCACCCACCAACAGCTCACTCCAGCCAAAATGAGAGCATATGATAAGGTTAAAAAGGGACATATCTCACCATAGTTATTTTGTTCTTCTTGTTTGGTGTCTCAGCAAAACACTTCATTGATGAAGATTCAACCACTGTCTCACAGAATGAGACCACTGGATCTGCAACCTGCAAACCACAGGCCGACATATCAGCATAAACCCACTCCACAGGATCACCACATCAAAGAGCAAGTTAGAGAACACAATTAGATACCTTTACTTCAACTTCTGAATAAAGCTCTCTCAGGTCCTTCATGATAGAATCCAAGTACAGCTCACCTGTGCCTAGAATAGTGTGCTCCCCCGATTCTTCAACCTTGGTAATAGCAAGAGGATAGCTCTTGCTGATTTTCCTAAGTCCCTCCACCATTTTAGGCAACTCACTAGGATTCAAAGGCTCTGTGGCCGTCTTCACTACAGGGAGTGTATTGAACTGAAGTGGGCGGAATATGTAGATATCTTCGTCGTAGTTTTCATTACACAATGTGGCAGTCTTCATGATGGATGCATCAACACCTTCAATGAGAACCCAAGAACCAGGAGGCGCACTGCTTATAGGTATCCTGTACCGGGCTTGGTAGATCCATAACTTGGTCACTTCCTTTACAGTCATATCTTCCTCATCCTCAGGCGAATACCCTTCTCCCAGTACACGGACACTTTGCCCTGTTTGAATCTTACCACTATAAACCCTACCAAAAGCATCAAAGACGCTACAATCTGATTTCGGGTACAATTTAGTCACGTTCACCATGAGAGGTCCATCAGGATCGCATTCTACCATCGAATCATATGTGGAAGAATCCTTGGGCCCCGTGTATATATGTTCAACCTTCCTAGCTGCAGCTTCTTTGGGGGAAGGAATATGCTTTACCAGCATATCAGTGAAACCCGATGCAGATCCAAAAACCGAGCTACAGGCTAACCTAAGTAATGGCCGAACATTCAGCTTATAAGCAGTATTACTGAGAGTGACTCCTAATTCTGCAAGGGTGGTCTCCACACTCTTCTTATGTTCACCAATCACTTGACTATATATTTTGTACAGTGGCTCAAGAATAAACTGAACGAATGACCTTTCTCCACCACCAGCTGGAGGATTCCTCTTGAACACCCTCCTATCCGGGTGAAAATACATATCTCCCCAAAGACGGGATGAAAACTTATCCGTATCCATCTGTACCCCATGAATCTTAGCATACAATTTAGCAAAAGATTGCAATGTGAAGGACCATCCAGCAGTAGCACTAGCAAAACAAACATTTCCAGCCGCTGGGTCTATAAGCTGTAAATTTCCAGCAGTAGTTGAAGCAGCAGTTATGTGGTTATTAATGACTTCAATTGTATGCCTTAGCTTGTAGTAAGCATCCCTTGGAGGTAGTTTGAGCTCAGTTATGAGCCTGTCAACCTTTCGTAGAGAAAAAAAAAAAGACAAGTCAACAAAGTCAAGAAGAATGTTTGAAGATACATTGCACAAAAGAATATCAAACTGCACACCAATGTTAAACCTATTAAGCAGGGCATTCACCTTGTTCAAAACAACAACAATAGGAAGACGCTCCTGGATCGCATGGCGAATAGCCCTCTCTGTGTTTACCTGACAATAATGAAAAACCTTTATAGACTGTAGACATTACAAATTACAAATGTGAGCCCAATAGAAAAAGGATCGGAAACTCGTACCATCACTCCTTCAGCAGCATCGACGATCAAAACAGCACCATCAGAAAGTCTTAAAGCAGCAGTCATTTCATCAGAAAAATTGACATGTCCTGGGGCGTCCATGATATTACACAGGTATGATTTGGATCTGCTGTCTTCAAGGACAAGGGACATGGGAATCGCCTTAATCGATATATTTCTCTCCTGTTCATCAACTCTTGTGTCTGTATATTTCATGTGCTTCTCGTTTTTCACATCAAAGGTAGACATATGGTGTGTTTGCTCCACCAGCATATCCATAAAGAGAGTTTTCCCATGCTGAAGGTGCCCCACAAGAGCAACATTCCTCACAAGTGCAGGATTTGACATGAGGCCAATAAGAAACTGTGTCGACACATAAGTAGACGAATCCTTAACCCCGATCTCAAATTTAATGTCTCTGACCGGTTTGATAATGGGTAGCTCAAGAGACTGTTCATCTTCATCCATAACCAATGTCTCGACATCTTCACCATAAACCTCTTCTGCGGTCGGGTAGTACTTTTTATCCTCGGGAAGGACCACCTGATTCTCCATATCAACATCATTGATTGTCGTAATCCAGCCATTAGCAGCTCCACGATCATGTTCGCCATCTGATCCATCCTCCTCTGCTGCCTTGTCTGGGAGCTCTTCGTCTTCTATTTCTTCGTCACTCTCCCTGTCAGACTCGATCTCAGGGCCGATGTAGTTACCAAACTCGTCATACAAGCTATCATCCATCTTTTGCTAAACCTGTTAACAACACCCCATCAAGCAACAAAGAATTATGAATCACCATGAACTCAAATCAGAGCATTACGATAAACTCTAGCTTATAGAATGATTTAGAGAGAAACTAAAACTGTTTCGAATTAGAGAGAAACTAAAACTGTATGAATTATTTCATCTACAGCCTGTTGGCGAAAATCAACTCCCTGATTCTATAACTAAACCAAAATCAGCAGTCCATAAAGAGACAAAAAATAAACAGTATCCTTTTCTTCTTATAAATGCCGACTAAAGCAATAATTTCAAGAGATGCTAGGGGAAGAATTGAATCACTTGAAGAGCAGCACCATGCCTACTACAAACTCCATATATCTTTGGCATACCTGATATGTGCCTATTCAGATTAAGACTTAATCAACCACATAAGCAAATAACCCAAGATTCAAGAGAATATGAACTGAGAGTTGTTCGAGCAAACGCACAAGCAGGAACTTAGACAAGTGAAGATGCAACACAAAACCCGAAGAGATGATCTAAACTGATACCAATAACATCAATAAATTAGCTACAAATTTCATTTCATCTATAACCCAATAGCGAAAAAACATCTCCTCCATACCGCAATGACAACAAAATCAGCGCTTGATACAGACAGACCGGAAAACCGGAGTGCCCTTTTCAAGTAAAAACCGACAACAAATACTGAGACCGAAGCGAGAATTTCTACAGAAGCTAAAGTAAAACTGGGCCACTACAACAAAATCCCATCAGGCAAAGCATTTCATCAACACAAAAAGCAATAGCGCGAGATTCAAAGTGAAGCAGATTTGAGATCCGTTCGAACAAAACCCACAAGCAGGAACTAAAGTAAGAACTACCTAGAGAACACAGAGATACGAAACAACAGAAGAAGCAAGCTCGAGAGCTAAAGAGAGAGAAATACAGTACGAGGTTTATTGAGGGTTTTCGGACGAAGAGGGAAATGCGAAGATGGGAGATTTCTTCTTCACTTCTTCAAATCACACCAGACCTTTCGCTTGGGGCGGTTCTTGTCGAAACGAAACTTGGGAGTAAATGGGCTTTCTGGAACTTTAAATTCGGCCCATTCTTCATTTGAATGCATTTAGGCCCTTTTTCTTTTTTGTCTTTAAATAATTATTTTCCTTTTTTAATTTTATATTATTTTCTAGTTTATTCATATAAGAGATTTTTAGATTCTTGGAACTTTCTTTTCTATTTTTCACATAGTTAGGGTTGCAACCCATTTTTTTATATATAATTTAATTCAAATTTCATTTTTTTGGTTGATGCATCTATATTCTTTTAAGTAAATTAAATTTGTCATTTAAGTCTTTCATGAATATTGTTGATTTAGGTGTTTTTTTTGTTGGGATGGTAATTTGTTTTTTTTTCTATAAATTAAATAGGTTAAGTTAAAATAAAAATTTAGATATTCTAACTCAATTAAAACTTTAAGAATTTTTTAATTATTCTCCGATTTAGATATCATCAGTTTAATTATTCGTGCACAAAAAATTTACCTCTCTGCAAAATGTAGTTAAGACAAATGCTGACTGAATTTCAGTATTATAAAAAGAATATTGGAGTTGTGTACATTATAAATATTATTATTAAAATGTCTATTGGAAAAAACTTGAATCATATTTCAAAATGATTAATCATTGATATATACATATATATATACAATTATAAATTATATTTCAAAACCACTATATTTGAAGTTTATATTGCTATCACGTTATACTAACGTGATAAAAACCCAACTCGTGTTTTAACAATAAACCCAAATCATTTCCATGGGGTTGCTTCTGAAACCAATTGATGTCACCAAAACCTAAAGCCATTTGAAGAAATGACCAAAAACCAAGACAAGTGTATGCAGAGAATTGATCCAAAGATTTAAACAGAGACATACTTAGGAGGAAACACAGACAAAACACAAACCCATATGAATCCTGCAAAACCCAAAGACGACAGAGAATCAGAGAGCGGCACGACGATGTATTTCAGAGAGATGGATCGCTGGAGAAAATTAGGGTTTTCGGATGAGAATCAAATTCTTCAGGGAAGAAAGGCGAGCGAAGTAGCACCCACAAGGAGAAAAGGAAACTTTCGCAGAAACAGAGGCATACCTGGAGACGAAAGAGATGAAGCGGTTCGACCAGTTTTCGGTGAGCTTCCGGCGAAGAAAATGCTCCAATAGACAGAAGAGGAGAATGAGTTCGATGGAGAAGAGGAGAATGAGTTCAACCAATTCATTCTGTAGCTTAAAATTCCAATTCCAACCCTAAAAGCTCGTGATTTTAATGCCCAAAGCTCGAGAAGAATTCAACTAGAAACACTGATCAAGTTCCTACAGAGATGATTCATCCTTTCACTTGTGGCTAATCAATTTTATAAACGCAGTGTCGGGGATTGAAGGATTTCTCCGATTTTCCCTTCCACTGGTACAGAAAAGCAAGCAAAACTAGGATATACACAGAAGCTGCAACCAGACAAATCACAGAGAGAGAGAGAGAGAGAGAGGGAGAGCAAGGCGGAGACAAGCTCGGTCGAACAAGTCTGAAAACTTACCGCGACGACGGAGATAATTTGACAGTATGAAAGGGAGAGCAAGGCGGAGGGAAGCTCAGAGAGAAGCACGGCAGATTCCGAGCTAAGGGAGAGCACGGCGGAGACTCGCAAGGGTAAGCGGAGATGAGACTGAACGGCCCCTTCTGCGGAGAGGAGAGGAGAGAGAGAGAGAGGCCGAAATTGAAAATGACATTAGGGTTAGGGTGAATTAGGGTTGTTGGGGAAAGGAGTATTTTGGTAAGTGTCTTACATAATTAAGAGTTTTTGCAATTTCATTAATACTCGGGTACCCATGAGATAATCGGTTGTCAAATACCCAAACTCAAACCCGAATTCGAAACTCGAATTTTTTGTCTCACAGGACCCGATATCTGTCTTATTATCTCACAAGTTATGATTTCCAGATACCAGTGAAACAGAGTATCCGAAAAACCACGGGTTCGGATAAAAATATCCAACTCTAGTTTCACGCGAGAGAGAAAAGAGAGATTTAGGTTTTTTTTAAAAAAAAAATTTAGCAAGAATATTTTGGTCTTTTGATTAAAAGATTAGAAAATGCTACCAAAACTCACCTAAAAAGCAGCGTTTCGATTTTTCAGATTTTGTTGCGATTATTTTTCTGCAGTTTAACCATTCAGTTTTGCAGCTGCTACCACCCACCAAAAATCGTATTCGTTCTGTTTGCAGATGACAGTGATGCAACCAATCACAGCCTGAATCGTATCACATGTAATATTTTCTTACATAACGTTGTTTGACGTTGCAATATCATATTCTAACTAAGGGTGGACATCAGTCGGATACAGGAAAAATTAGGGTATTTTAATTTGTACCCAGAAGACTCGGATATTTTAATTTAAAGTTTTCGTTTTTCGAAAATATCCGGAATACGGTCTCCGAAATAGTATTCGAGAATTCTCGAGTATCTAAATTCAGCTTTATTTAAGAAAACTAATAATATTTATATAAAAAAATTTAAAAATGAAGATATATGTATAAATATCGACGAATTACTTATAAGATAATAAGAGAATAATAATAATAGTAATAAATTTAATTTTTTGGAGAAATCTGAAATTATTTAATGGAAAACAATTATATTTTATGAAAATATTATATAAATATATGATATAATTATATATAACAAAATCAGTTGGATACGAGTATCCATTTTTTAAAATTCTATTACCTGAACTCAGATTTGAATTCGTGGATATTCGAGGATTCGGATTTAAATTTGGGTATGAATAGCCGTGAATATCATAAAGTCGGATGTCACGAGACGAGTATGCGATTTTACTGTTTTAATGTCCTAGACGTAAGAGCAATTTACGCAGCACCCCTCAAAGCCAAGCCCCGGGGCCCGACACGAGCCATGGAAATGCATAATATCTATCTATTTTACAAGGGCATCATTGTAAATATAGCATTAGGATTTCACCGAACACATTTACCACTGTAATTCTGTAAATAACTATGTAATTCTATAGGTGTAATAAGTATTTATAGAATTAAGAACACTAGGAAACACTAATATATATATATATATATATATATTAACAATCGCATCTTTGTGTATCTCTAGTGTGTGAGGAGACAGTGGTAGTAACAGAATGAAAGGAAGAACAAAACAGGACAGAACAAAAGAAGCATATCACTACAAATGTTTTTGGAGTATTTCCACTACTTTCTGACCCAAACAGGAAACTCTGTTCTGTCTTCTAAAATGCCACCAATCATATTTGTATGCATATATGTACATGTCTGCTTGTCGCTTATATACATATTACCATATGTACAGTTCTGTCAAGAAGAAGGGTTCATGGAGTCTGAACCCTCATTCACACTCACACCACCGGCCACATCTCCTCGGCAAAGCGGACAGACCCTGGAAACAAAAGAAGAAAAAATGTTCAGACAGAGAAATTGCAGCAGCTAGAATTAGGGGTGGGCTACCGAATTTTCCGGTGTACACAACCTCGACCTCCTCGGGTATATTGATCGGACTGCCTGACCTGGGTTTCGTAAGGGTCAGATACCCAAACTTCAGGTACCCGCGGAGTGTGGGGATGGCTCGGGTACCCGCAGGATACCCGGCCGACGAGGGCAAGTGAGAGGGGACAGCCTCTCTCTCGTTCCCTCGCCCTCTCTCCCCCTCTACTCGAGTTACCCACATATACAGGTAATCGCTGACTGAGACCTGTACTCGAATCCGAAAGTCGAATTCTCAGCATCAACAGACCCGTACTCGTCCAGGCGGTGAACGAGTACCCAAAATTTCAGATACACAACTCACAGGTCGAGTGGAGACCCGCAATCTCGAGTTTTCCCATGCTCATACATCCTACAAGGACAAAACACTCACCCATGAATCTCTTTGAGCCATTTGTCGACACAAGCCATGTGATACTCATGGTGACACGGAAGAAGACGTATTTTGTCCCCGTCTTCGTACTCTGAGAGGCATATGTAGCACCTGAAAAAACATAAAGGGATCAGCCCATTTGCAGCTTATCCATTCATTGTGACCAAAACCATAAGGTATTTGTTTAGTATCACTTGTCTTGGTGAACAGACACTTACTGTTGTACATCATCTGTTGACTCGGCTGTCTTGGGCTTCATGTATTCTCTGAGAGGGAATGATTCAACAACTGATTCGGGTGCTACATGTGAAGTTAATGGTAATGAAAAGTAGGCTGATCGGGGCTGCATCTCATCCAACACCTGAGAGGGTGATATAACAATGAATCGATGAAAATGTAGCAACGATATATCATGCAGTATATGATATATTTTACATTTGTGTTCTGTAAAGTTTCCCGTTATTCAGTTGATAAAAGAGGAGGAGATGCTGCCCGTTAGAGACAAATTATTTCAAACAGAATTAAGGGGAGAAAAAAACAGACATCAAAGATCTTCACCCAATACCGAACTCAGGGAAAGCAGAAAAAGTATTACGAGATGCAAAAAAGTTTTAAAATTGATTGGGCGGCCAAAAGTATTACGAGATGCAGAAAAAGTATTAGGAAAGTTACATTAGCAGCTGTAGTGCGGCCATTTTTTATACTCATAAGCATTCAATGAGCCCAAATCCCTCAATTATAGACAATAACATGCACAAATTGCACAAGTAAAAACAAGTTTGCGCAGTGAAATTGATTATTGCAACATGGCGAAATCCCTCATTATAGCAAAAACTGGATGAGAGAGAAAACTTGTATGCCTTGATTCTATAAAGACTTTTAGAAACAAATGTACTCCTATTGCAGTTCCATGAAGAAGAAACAAGTCGAGGAAGCGAGAAAACTCTAAAGAATAGTGAGCAATTTGAAAAACATTACCTCAAACAGAGCTTCAGCAAGCATCACTATGCGTGATATGCTTAGGTGAATGCTAGACTCTTCACCAGTCAATAATGAATCACATGAGCACGAACCACCAGGATGGACCCCAAACGGGCACGAGTTAGTTTGCCGTTGGTTCTCATTGATGCCAAACACAATGTCCCAGATCTGCAAACCAGAATTCAGAAATGGTTCACGCGAACAAAACTTTGAAGAGGATTGGGGAAGCAACAAATTTAGCACACTTTTGTCACAGCTTAAATACCCTGCAAATGAAGACAACTCAAAATTGTCAAAATGTTTCAAGAAAACTTTAGTCCTAGGAAATGCCCTGAACGCACCTGTTTTTCCAGATTGAAAGAAAGACTACTACTGATGGGTTTTACAAGAGGTACCTCAGATCTCGAGTGTTGTCTTTGTTCACTCCGATTATTAACCCCGATCTGACCAGAGGGAGGACCCCCGTTTAAATCAGCTGGCCTCCTATTCTGAGATAAGGCATCGTTCCCACTGTCACTTGAGAAATCTCTGTTAGGATTCACAGACATTACTGCAGAGCGGGTGCTTGATGATGCAGCAGAAGATGAAATTCTGGAGTTACTACGGATATCAAGGTGATCAGAGTAAATGTAGGAAGATGTAGATACTGGACCATCATGAGATGATCTCTCATCCATCCCATTCTGTCCCCTACTGGACACAACAGGTCTTACATTGGATTCTACACTTGCATCCTCCACCACATCAAATCCGTCAAGATCAACTGACGAACGGCTGCAAACGGCCTCATTTGCCTCTTGCGAAAGTGAATGTCTCGATGACCATACACTAGAAGAATGCCCCTGCTCATTCACTGGATTTTCGATTCTGTCGTTTGGTTCCTTGTTGACCGATGCATTTACAAAGTCTGAAGATTGTTCTATAAAGGAAGTACTGGCAATAGTACCTCTTCTGTCCGTCGGATATCCATGATCAATTTCAACACTAATCCGATTGGGGTTATCTAGTTCCTCATAATTCTTCAAGTACATCTCTCCTTTACTAATTTCAGCACCCACCAAACCATGGGGAACTGACACACATCTGGAGGTCGAGGTCGAGGCACTGATTTGAGACAAGCTTCCAGCTTCTGTATTTGAGTTTAACCTCTCTGTTCCTCTACTTCTCTCTGAAGTAATTTCCACAACAGGTCTTATTTCCTTTGAAGAACTTGCTCTAACATCAATGAAATGTTCCTTCTGCTAGAATTAGAATAGCACATCACACATATAAGAAACGCATAATGGAACATCTTGCTTTACCCGGGCCCAAACTAAAAAACCACACAACAAAGTCAGAAGATCCGCAGCATCTTTTAGTCAGATCACCAAAAACCAAAATCAAGAAAGTGCACATGAATCAATCTTCAGAAGCCAACGTAACCAAAAGATTAAAATTTAAGCAATATAACAATCAGAATTGGTTTTTGGATATCGGCATATCACGACGACAAGGGTCTCACGTACAGACTACAGCCATAAATAAGAGCTAAAGATTGGGAATTAAACAAAGGAATTGAGCCAGCTATGGTCGAAGAACTAAGTGCATTAAAATGAAATTCAGTAGTATTGCATAAAAAAGATAAAAATTTTCCTTGCCCAGATCACTAACCGGAGGTCGAGGTCGAAATCAAATACATTCAAGGTCAACAATATGTACACCAGATTCACTAAAAGACCACATATCATCATCAACATCCTCTTAATCCAAGTTTATTTTGGATCGGCCGCATGAATTCTTCGTTTCCGCTCAAAGACCATATAATTGAATCCTAAGCATGGCACAAAATATTCAAATATCATTGACCAACCGAGATCATCAGCTGGATTTCAAAGGAAATTAAAGCTACAGGGATTACGCCAACACGGAGCTACCCAGTAGAGATCGATGAAATACAAATAAGATATGAATCAGATGAGAACGAGAGAAACCTCGCGATCGCGCACGTCAGAAGATGAACACCCGCAAACAAGGAGAGATGAAAGACGAGCCCGAGAGCGGGACCGGTTATTCCGGCTGACCCGCACCGGCGGAGGTTCCGACCCGATTCGACTGGTTCCGGTGCCCATGCGGTGCTTGTTTCGCCGGAGATTGATCCGATTTGGTCGGAGATCGGGGGAGAGAAGGGGAGAGAGAGAGAGAGAAATGAAGTTTCTATGGAAGCTTCAAAATTTCAAATTTCAATGATCGACGACTCCGTATCTATTTGCGTATGCGACTCTGAAGCACTATAACGACGTGCCACGTGGATTCTTATTAAATAAAAAAAATCAATTAGTGGTTTTTATCTTATCTATAAAATTTTTATCTTATCTTCCTTTTAATTTTTTTTTATAAACAGTATTAGTTCCGAATCTTCGATCCGACTACATCCATCCTAGATCCGGAACCAACCTTTGTATATAGACTATTTTGATCTAGAAATTACATTTCATCCACAGGTGGAATCGAATTTTTTTTAAATTGTTTATATTATTTGTTTATTTATGATATTTATCCACATCTTATATTCTTTGAACATTGATTTAGTACCACCAAACTCTTGGTTTTCTCCTACTTTACATTTTTTTGTTATTGATCGGATTAGACATTCCTAGGATTTTAAAATTGATTAAATATAATAATAATTTAAATTAACTTAAGATAATTGAATACGAATCAATAAAATATAAATATAAACCAAAATTTTAAATGAATAATATTTTTTTTAATAAAAAAATTGACTTTTAGGAAATTGATGTAGTTATCAACTTATCATCTCACTCACCGGCGAATCCTTCCTATTCTACATATTAAACTCCGGAATGTCCTTTTAACCAAATGTTATATTTTTTTATATTATACATTATTTTTATAATTTATTAATTTTCCCTCATTAAAAAAAGTAATCATTTGGCTTGGTTCTGAATGGTCTCTGTAGTTGGTGGGATTTTGTGGAAGAATAAAAGTTAGGAAAAGGTGCTTGACGAACAAAAAAATGTCCCTTCAATTCAGTCCATAATATTCAATAAAATTTAAATTTATTCAGCAGTATATTATTATTATTATTATTATTATTATCATGGATAAATTCAATTTCCAAATATATATAAAATTTTGAATTTTCTTAAATTAAATATATATGTTATATCAAAATAGTTTTTATGCATATTATTTTTCTGTTAGTAAAGACAAGATTAAGGTGTGCAGTGCTTTTCTAAGAGTTGGTGAGAAAGGCTGCTATTGCAAGGCAATTTCGGTTTTATCCCTACTGCAAGATGTTTAGAGAGAAAAAAATAATATATATATATATATATAATTATAATTATAATTATAATCATTAGCGTTGAAATTTGTTTATTTAATTAATCATTTAAATTTAATTAATGAACCGGTCGTTGTCATCGTAGAATATGACACTTTTCTTGTGTTCTATTGCTTGTAAATTAGGGCAAAATTGCTTCCATTTTTTTAATTCGTAAGAAATGTCATGAAAATATATTTCTTGACAACTAAATTGTTTTATATTTTTTTAATTATATAATGGTGTAAATATTTTAGATTTACATATAAATTAACTGAATAAATATTATTTAATCTTTTTCAAACGAACCTATTTTAAAATTGATAACAAAATATTTATATAAATTAAAAAGTATGGACATAAACGAAAATGAAAATTAAATATAAAAACTTTAATAAAAACAAACATTTAATTAAATCTGATTTAAAATAAATTAATATAAAATTTTGATATAAAAAATTGAATTAGTACAACTCTTTTTAAAATTAAAAAACAATCTAATAATATGTGTACCTCATATAATTATTATGTGGTGAATATTCTTGATTCCTGATATGCGTTGTCAATCATGTACTTCAAAATTTATTTTAATGAAGAAACAACTGATCGAAATCACAAATTCATAGATGGAAGCCAAATTCGACTAGGAGGAAAAAATAAATAATATTCAACTAAAAAAAACAAGGAAAATCGCCAAAAAATCATGTCGACAAAAAAACTTTATACTTCTTTATTACCAAAAAATCTTATATTTATATTTATTCGCCGAAATATATATGTACTTTTCAAATATCAGACAAAAAAACCATTTACTTTTTTTATTACCAAAAAAACTATATATTTATACTTATTCGCGGAAATATATACGTAATTTATAAATTCTAATAAATAGATCTCTAAACACAAATACAAAAAAAAATCAAAAATATGTCCGAACCTAATCCAACCAATATATATTTGAATCGAATCGATTAAAATAATATACCATGTTGGATATGAATATTTAAAATCTAGAATAATCGAATCCAAAATAACCGAATTGAACCCGACCGACATATACCCGAACCGAATCGAATCAATTCAAATAATATACCAGATTGAATATGAATATTTTAAATTCGAAATAAACGAACCCGAAATAATTATAAAATGAATAAACCGAACTCGAATTAACAATAGCCGAATATAACCGGTCGGGATAACTTCGGTTATTTCGGTTATTTCGGATTTGAAATATTCATATACAATGTGGTATATTATTTTAATCGGTTCAATTCGGTTCGGATATATATCGATTGGATTAGGTTTGAACAGATTTTTGACCGCTTTTTTTTTTGCATTTACGTTTATAGGTTTATTTGCTATAATTTATAAAGTATAGGTATATTTCAGCAAATAAATATAAGTATAGGATTTGTTTGGTAATACAAAAAATACACAATTTTTTGTCTAATATCTGAAGAAATATAATGCGGTGAAAAAGTATAAATATAGATTTTTTTATAATAAAAAAATGATAAGAGTTTTTTTGTACAAGACTATAAGGGTTTTTTTGGTGATTTTTCCAAAAACCAACTATTTTTACTTTTTTATATATTAAAAAAGAAAGAGAAAGGATGCCAAATTCCTTGAAAAGATCGGACTTAAATTACAAAACATAATCTCTGTTGGAATTTTTATTGTAAGTAAATATCTAAGGTTATTGTTGATCATAATTTTTTCATCTCATTTTGATATATCAACGATTATATGAATTTGTTAATGCTATTGTAATTAATAGATGCAACATATTATATATTTTTAGATTTTTTTGGTCAATTATTTATGATATATTTTATCTATTCACCAATTAATGATGTTAAAAATGTCATATATATATATATATATGTATATATACACAGACACATCCGTTTTCATGGAACACTTTGTGTTAACAAGTTCTGTTTTTTTTTTTTGGAGGCGTGTTTACTTAAGTTACTTTTGATTTTGATGTGGCTCCTACGTTAAATTTTGTTTATTTTAATTTTTTATAAAAATATTTATTTTTTAAAACAAATTCTTTTTCCAAGTTTATATATTAAAAAAAACACAACGAGCTGAAGATGAAGACCAAACAATAGGCCCATTATGAAGCCCATATCAAGACAAGCGGCCCAATTACAGGCAAGGCAGGGAAGATCAAATTAACATGAAGAATTACATCACTTACCTTGAAAAGGAAATGAAAATAGAGAAAGGAATCTACAAAAACTACTGATACTATCGTGTATATACACTTCGGGTTTTAACTTTATTTTTTCACTATATATTTTGAATTTTTAAAATTACGAGTTAGGATATTTTGGCTACAAATACTTTATATAGTTCAATTTTTTTCCATTACTTTGTTGGTATTTTTTTTTCTAATATTCTTTTCTATTATATAAAAAATTCATTGTACTTGAAATCATCAACATAAATTTTTCTTTGCCTTTGGATTCGAGGCGCAATGGGGTTGCGAATCTACGATGGAAGGAAGGCAGAAAAACCAGAATAGAATTTCCTAATTAAAAAAAACGATAAAAATAAATAAATTTACTATTACATAGTAGAATAATTAACTAAATTTTGTTTAAGAGTATATATTATAGGGTTTTTAATATATAAATACAAAAAGGTGATTAATTATTTAATTCCTTTCTCAAAACTTAAATACATTAATAATTAATGGTTAAAATTTAAAATGATATTATTTAATTAATAATAATTTTAACGTTAAATATATATGGTTTGGGTTTGGTAATTGATACTACTTGATTTTGTTATGGTTAAAAATTAAATTTTGGGATAAATTTTATATTTCAAATATATACCTTTTCATTTTAGTGGTAAAAAAGTATACCACTAATTTGTTTTCTATATTAGTTATATATCACTAATCAATATGTATTTTTTAACTTTTACCGTAATAGTAAACATTATTATTATATAAAGCGTTTTCTCAAAAACCGATAATTATTTGGAAACTACATTAAAAAAAAGTGGAAACAACCTAAAACCTCCCCTCCGAATTTGTTGTTTTTCAAATTAAAAAGGCAAAAAAGAAAAGATCTTACGGAATTCAAACCGATTTTTCTTCTCTCCCTCGTTGTTCATCGCCTGAAAACCCCGTTCTCTGCAATCTTTTCGCCTTCATCATCATTATCGCCCGTTCCGCTCATCGATCGAATCGATCTCAGTTCAGAATTCAACGTCTTCGATTTCCTCTTGGTTTTTGAAATAGACGGAACGGTGTTGTTTTTCTGGCGAATTGGGAGCCAACCAATGAGTCCGACTCTGAAACAGAAACTCAAATCGTCGCTCTGCATCTGCGGCTGTTTCCGGCAGGTCCACCACCACCACCACGCTCCGTCGCAACCTCTGTCTCCGTCATCGTCTCCGGAATCTCCCGGCGACAAATCTAGCCATGACGATTTAACCGCGAGCCCAAAGGAACGTCACATTCACAAGAAGACGAAGTCGCCGAGGCTTTCACGGACATTGTCAAAGTCGCAGGAAAAGTGCCGGAGTCTGATCCAGCGAATCGGTGGTGGTTCCGGCGTCGGATTATCTGGCAGAAGCGGAAGGCACGTCCGACGGCATTCGACGGATTTTCATTACGATGCGCATAGTTATTCTCTGAATTTCGACAAGGGAGACGACGAGGACCTCGACCAGTATCCACTACGGAATTTCTCCTCCAGGCTTCCGCATTCTCCTCCGTCGTCAGCGAAGGACTCAACGGAGACTGAGGCTGAGTCGACATCCGCCGCCGGGAGAGAGATTTTTGCAGCGCACTGTTAATTGCGGTGATGAGTCATGAGGATTCAGTTCCGTTTCCTTTTTCGTCGTTTTTTCTTTTCTTTTGCAAATAATTTTGTTTTCTCGAAGCAACGGTAAATATTTTATGTATTTCCCTCTAATTATCTTAATATATGGATATTTAAAATTTCTTATCGATTATAATTTATTTATTTTTTTAGTTCATATTTTTCAAAATTTTAAAAATACAATGCATTTATTTTTATATTAAATTTGATTTAATTTAATTTAATTTTAAATCTTTTATTTTCTTTAAAAAATCCCGATATTACTTTTATAATCAAATTTGATTTAATGAAAAATAGATCAAAGCAAATTCTATATTTAGGCCTTGAATGACATTGGTTTTTATTTTGGGTTTTTGTCTTTAGTTTTTGATTTTTGGTTTTTAGTTTTTGATTTTTTGCTTTTCGATTTTATAAGTTTGTAAATTCTAAAAAATGTGGTTTTTAGTTTTTAGTTGATTTTTTTCATAAAGTAGATTTCCGGGATTTTAGGAAAACCAAATTTCAAAAAACTTATTGTCAGTTTTTTCAATTTTTAAAATCCAAAAAATCTGAAAACCACTTCTCATCCAACACCTTAATTCCAGATAAATATAATTAGGATTTGGATTAGTCTGTTTGATTTCGGCACGGAAATAGTCACCATAAGGTGGTTAAATGGCCGGTTCTATTTTCGAGAGTAAATGACTGAAATACCCATTAGTCATCATAGGCCCTTACGATTATTATTGGGCCACACGAGTTTCTCTCCCACACATTCAGGTTAATCATTAGAATGGGGTTAGGAACTGAATAATCGGATGGAATAAGATATAATCATAATCAAACCTAATACGATATAAAAACCGAACAATTATAATTTTTTCGAATTTTAGTAACCGAATAATCGAATCGAATAAGATATAATAATAATCAAACCGAATGCGATATAAAAATTGAACAGTTATGATTTTTCTAAATTTAAAAAATTCAAAACCAAAGTGATTAAAAAAATAAATGAAAAATCGATAATTTTTTCGAAAAAATAAGTTTTTTATAACAAAAATTTTGATCTAAGTCGAACTAAACCAAAAAATAACTAAACCGAAATGAAATTTATATAAAAACTGAATGATTATAATTTTTTTATAATCAACATAATTAAACCCCAATATAATCGAATCGAATATAACGGAAATTTAAAATCCGAAATAGTCACCTTAGCTATAACTATATATATAAAGTAAAAGTGTGCACCAGTGTGGGGCCCTGCCATGTTCATTTACGTTTCATTGACTCGGTCTGTGTGCCGTTTGGGATTTTTTTTTTGTGGTGGTCAGATTCATAGCACAATTTTATCCAAATATTATACTATGTATATTTATATACGTATTTATGTGCATAATTTTAAAGAGAAAATATCAAATACACTAATTTACTAATTTCTTATTCATAAATATATAAATTTTTTAATTTTTTAAAAAATATATCAATTCATAATTTTCTGACAAATTGCTATACGGATGATAATATCATTAACTTTGTAACAATTTTTTGTGACAGTACTGACATAGTTTACCGGATTTTCTACGTCAGTGTCACATATAAAAAATTTTTCACGTCATAAAAAAATAAAAACAAAATTAAAATTAACTTCATTTAAAATAAAAATAATTAAAAAATAATTTTAAATTTTAAATTTTTAAAAAATTAAAAAAATTAAAAATTTGAAAAATAAAGTTTTAAATTTTAAATTAAAATTCAAAATTTAAATTTAAATTTAAAAATAAATATTAAAAAAATAAATATGTATATTGAAATATATGTATATGTACATGTATATATATGTATATATATTTTATGGGAAAATTATATATGTATGTATATATTTATGTGTATATATTTAGTTTAAAAATTTTAAGTTTTATTTTTTAATATTTCTTTTTAAATTTAAATTTAAATTTTGAATTTTAATTTAAAATTTAAAAATTTTATTTTTCAAATTTGTAATTTTGTATTTTTAAAAAAAATTTAAAATTTAAAATTAAAATTTAAAATTTTTAAATTATTTGTATTTTAAATGAAGTTAATTTTACTTTTGTTTTTATTTTTTAATGATGTGAAAATTTTTGATATATGACACTGACGTAGAAAATCCGGTAAGTCATGTCCGTTCATTGGAAACTGTTATAAAGTTAACCGTGTTAGTATCCGTATAGTAATTTGTCAGAAAATTGTGAATTGATATATTTTTTTGGAAGTTAAAAAATTTATATATTTCTGAGTAAGAAATTAACAAATTGGTATATTTATTTATTATTTTCTCTAATTTTAAATAGTATTTTGTGAATGTATACGCTTGTTGGTTGTGCATATGATAGTGACTTTTACACAAAAATTTCTAATACTGTTCAAATTCAAAATATCTGAAATGTGAAAAAGATAGTACGAATTTTCTTGAAATCAATTATTTATTTTGGCTAGGGAATGGAGATATTACCCAATACTATATATATATATATATTAAAAAAAAATTGGATATTGAGTAACTTTGATCGGGCCCGTGTGCAATACAGATAGGATTATCCACGATTTTCATATATTTCTTTTAAATCATATATATTAAAATATCTAAAAAATATTATTAAATTATTTTTACTTTTAAATGTGTTTACAATGTTGTGTTGTCATTAAATCAAATATTATTATTCAATCATTTATTTGCCGTTTAGTTCCACGATTTCATATATTTTTTATTTGTTAATACTTCTAATATAGCATTTCATCGTAAATAAAAAATTAAGAGCGTAACTTTCAAAATTAGAGTTGGAAAAGCATAACCCTTAGATTCAATTTCTAACCAATTTAGAATTTATCTACTGTAACGATTGATTTCTGATATAGAAATTAGTTAGACCTTCGACAACGACTGACTCTGAATTAAAAGTTCAGTTAACTTTTTTTATAATTAAAAAATTTATCAAACTTTTAATTTAACTATATATTTCAAAGGATGAAAAAAATATTTTTCTACGTTTAAATTTAAATTTGAGATAAAAACATGATTTGAATATTTTTTTCCATCAATAAACAATCCAAATCTAAATAGTGAACCGTCTTGTTATAAAAAGATTCTAACATCTTTTTTATATATAATATATGTTAGATTGGTGTACTAATTAGTTTTGGAAGTTATCTGTCATGTCATAACATTATTTTAAAGATATCTATATTTTACGCTAAAGGAAAAAAAAAAGAGTTCTCGACGTGTGGGGCTTTGAAGAGTATCTAACAACAAAATAAAGGAATTATTTTTTTTACAATATTTCAATAAAAATATATTTTTATAAGATATCTTTCTGAAATAAATGTATCCTGTGAAGAGACAAGACACCTGCCCATGTAAATCTCAATAGGAGTCATTATCATTCCGTCGTGTCCTAACCCCAACTTCCGTATAGTTCTTTTGTTTTATTTATATATTCCATTTATCTTTTTTTAATTATAATATTATAGAAGAAGACTGCGAAAACTAATCACATATATGCGTTAAAAAATTTGTGATTATTAGTGTGTGATATTTTTTTAAAATAATTATAAGATAACAACCGTTACAATGTCTGTTTTCATTTCCAAGACCATCATTCACGCCTCCCCTTTTTTTTTATCCAAATTTTTTTGGTTATATGTTATTCTATTAAACTCCAAAAAAACATCAGTTTGTAAAACATAAATATACATATACAAAAATTTGGATTCTCATGTGCAAATGGACAAAATGATGGATTCTACGTTATTCTAATTCATTCTTTATCTAAGACCATTAAAAACCAGAACAATATGCATAGGATGGATTTGAATTCATTTTTGGATTATACTTCAATGTTTTTCTTTATATGATGATATTAAACAGATATTTACATAGATTTTTTTAGATATAATTTTTTTTTGAAAAAAATCTATATAAATGATTATCTTTAAATGGAGACTCAAATCTCATTTGAAAACAAGTTTTTTTTAATCTTTTATTTATCAGATAAACCATCTAATTTCGAGTTTTTTTAGATATAATTAGATTGAAAATTCGATAACCTTTCGAAATATAAAAAACATTAAAAATTTTTTTTTTATAAAATTCATCCTTACAATTCTAAAGAAAATAGATAACTTGCATTACATTCTTCAATCTCGAACATTTATTAATGAAGATTCGAAATTGCAAATCAAATTGTATAATACCAACTACTTTTGGTTTGAGAATGATATAAAAAATAACAGATATTTCATCTATGCTTGGATCTTTTAAAATCTCAAATATTTGATCTATACTCGAATTTAATATCAATCGTAGCTGCTTGAATGATATACGATGTTCTCGATATACAACATGATTTGATCAAACAGTGATCTTATTTCAAAGTTCTATAGGTTCAATACTATTTGATATTACTAAGATTTAGGGTTTATTATAATGATTTGACCTAAGAATTATATGAGGTGATGGTAATATTCGTTATGTTAATGAGAACTATGAATATAAAATAACCTAATAAAATCTACAATTTGGTTATAAAATCATCTAATAAAACCTACGAATTGGTATCTCTCCCACTCTCTCATTAAAGTCAAAATTATGTCACTAAATATCAATTTAAAATTGATACAAATTTAAATCAAGTTTTAACATGAACTTGATGGTAATTATTTTTCTAATCCAGAGTTAATGATAGCTCTTTATATGAATACGCACGATATCTACCCATTCATATGTGCATAAATAGCATAAATTCTTTGGATGAACTTATTATTAATATATTGTTAATTTTAGTGAATTTTCAAGTACAACTTTGTTTTGTGATTATGTTTTAAGACTGTATTACATCATTATCATCATGATTTATTGTTTTTTTTTCTCAATTTCTATATTTCCCCAAATAAATAAGGTGAAAATGATAGATTCCATGTACATGTACATATAGTGCATAGACTATTTTAGTTGTTTAAATAAAATAATTTTCAAAGTTTTTGTGTGTAAAAATCACTTAATTGGTATTATGTTTTATACATTTCATGAGGGAATAAAAGTATACACATGCTTATTTGTTGTAAAATAATTAAAGTTTAAAAGAGAAAAGGTGATTCAAATTTGTATGGAATTCACTCTTGGATAGAGATATGTATTTTGGATCATGCATACAGGTATCAAAGAAAAAACAATTAGTAATAAATAATTGTATCACAATCGAATTTCGGATCTAAAATTTTATTCAAACTATTTTTAAAAACAAATCTAATCGGAATACAAAAACAAATAAATATCGAAAAGTTTTTAAAAAGTAAATATATTTTTTAATAAAAAAATATTTTGAATTTCATTGAAATATGATATAAAAAATGGAATCTATAATTATTTTAAAAAATTATAAAAATATATTTGTTTTAAAATTTTGAATTTGAAAATAGTAGAATATAAACTTGAAACGTGTCTTTCTATTGTTTGATGAGATTAGGAAAAATATTAAATTGTTAAAAAAAAGAATATTTAAGTATAAGATCTCCTAAAAAATTGGGAAACCTCAGACATTGGAATCCTAAAACTTCAACTTATTTTCCCATTTGCGTCAAATTATTATTATTTTTTGTTCTAAATATATAATACTTTCAATTGGTTTCCAAGTATGGATAAACTGTATAGTTTCTTACAACTTTTATTATATGTTTAGAATTTAAATTTCTCGTTGACCATTTATTATTGGTTGAAAATTGATATATATAACAAAGCTCATTAATATGCACTCACATATTAATTTAAACAAATTAGTTATGTAAAAATATACAGTGGAAAATCGGGAAATAAGCATTGTAGTTATTAAAAAATATAATTATTTGATTTCTATTTTGGTTTTCGTTTCCTTTTAAATTTTATTTAGATTTGATTTTAATTTAAAATATTTTTCATATTTTGGTGTTATTATATTTTTATTTATTTAATTTTTCAAAATATAGAATTAATTTTTAAAACGGAGTTAACTGAGGTACGATTATATATTAAAAATTAGGATTAAGTGAGATTCTTACAAACGAAAAAAAAAAAAACAAAATATTTAGAAGAAAAGAGAAAAACGGTGAAGGGAAAAAAATGGCAAAACCAAAACGAAAGAAAGCTTTTGCATGAGACTAAACCACGTGCCCCATCCCTCCCTCTCCCCCTCTCTCTCGTGTTCCTCTTTTGAATTTTCCCGAGAAAATAATTAATTTTCCCCCGAACCCATCCGAGAAAATCCAAGGTGGGCTCTGATCCGTCAACGTGATTACGACATCAAATCCAAAGGGCGAAGCATTAGAGATTTCCTCGCCACGACAACCTCATTCCCCTCCGTCTTCTTCTTCCTCTTCTTCACCGAGTCGGTTTCGTCTTCTTTTCTCTCACCCCGAAAACTGAGCTCGGAATCTATGCCTTTGATTCGTTCTCACTATTGTATTATTCCTTTCTGCTCCAAACTTCGGTGATAGCTTGAATTTGTCCGCACGGATAAGCGGGTGAGAAAAAAAAAAGCCCTATCTGGTCTCTGTCTCTGCGTTTGAACCCCTCTACGGAATCTGTCGCCCTAACAATGGCGTTGGATCAGACATCGGTCCCAAAAGAGCTAAGGCCGATAAACGTAGCCACTCCGGTGTCGGAAGACCCGAGAATATCCGTACATGCTGTACCGGGTCGACCCATTGAAACTGGTAGCCCGAATTCTGTGCCGGTTTATTTTCCACCGACTTTACCGGAATCTGGGTTCGTCGGTGCAGGTTACGGGACTCAGGTCCCCGGCGTCGCCACGTGGTGCCCTCGTCCTCTGGCTCCGGTAGGGCATGTTGGAATTGGTTCCGCAGGTGCGTTAGGTTATGGACCCGATTTGGGCAACAGGGTCGTTCTTAATGCGCATGAAAATTGTAGCACCGAATTTGGAGCTGGGTTTGGGTATAATCAGGGTTTGAGCATGAGAGATTGTAGCAGTGGGAGTGAGAGATCAAATGTTGATGCAATGAACAGGAACTGTGGTGATGTAAATCTTGGGATTAGGACTAGTGGTAATGGTGCTGATACGGGTATTGAAGATGGTGGAGATGATTCGGTATCAGGGAAAAAGGTGAAGTTTTTGTGCAGCTTTGGGGGCAAGATTTGGCCTAGACCAAGTGATGGAGTGTTGAGATATGTGGGTGGGCAGACAAGGATCATCAGTGTTCAAAAGAATGTGAGATTCATTGACTTAGAGCAAAAAATGTTTGAGGTGTATGGTCAACCTGTCGTCATTAAATACCAGCTTCCTGATGAGGATCTTGATGCATTGGTCTCTGTTTCGTGCCCCGAGGATCTCGATAATATGATGGAGGAGTATGAGAAGTTGCTAGAGAGATCTCCAGATGGGTCAGCTAAGCTGAGGGTATTTTTGTTTTCGGCTTCTGAGGTTGAGTCTTTGGGAGCAATGCAGTTTGGAGATGCACTCGATAGCGGGCAGAGATATGTTGAGGCTGTGAACGGTGTTGTTGATGGGATTAACGGTGGAATCACAAGAAAGGAGAGTATAGCAAGTGCTAGTTCAAACCAGAACTCTGATTACAGTGCTACAGATGCTGTTGATAGCTCGGGCCCTGGTCAGAGTGATTTTGTTGCTGCTGCTGTGACCACAAGCACGTTCGCACCTCCGGAAAATCTTGTTACTTCTAATGACAATGCTGCAAGAACGGTTCCCCTTCATCCCGATTCCTCGGCTTATGCTGATAATTATGCTATACCGATGGCTGTTCCTGTTGCTAGGGTTGGTCCTTCTCAGCCGGAGGTGGTCTCAGAGAAGCAGATGCCACCGGTCAACATCCAGCAACCGACAGCTGCACAGCCTCTACGTCACTCGCAGGCTTATGTTGATCCTCGTCTACAAGTATTTAGACAACCGGAATATGCCCATCCATCAAACCAGCATCATTTGGCAAATGCTGGTTCCATGTTTACTCAACAACCTTTTCAAGGAAACGTTCAAAGTGTCTCGCCCCATCAGTTCTTTCGCCCTGTCCACATGACATTTGCCCCTTCAACCACCCACTCGGGTGTTCGGCCAGTTGTGATTCAGCCCGTGGTCCAGACTCAAGACACCTGGTCAGGTAACTATCCCGATGAAAACGGTCTCGGGGTTCCAAAGTTAGTCCCATTTCCCACAGAACTGAACTACACTGCATATCAGGGAACAGTTGCACCCGGGAGTTATGGATGGGCTCAGATGGCACCTCCAGACAATGTTGTTCTCTCTGAAGGAATAGTGCCTCGGCCCATAATTTCACCTGAAAATACCCAAAGGGTAGAGGACTGTCATTTGTGCCAAAAGGCATTGCCTCATGCCCATTCAGATCCAGTGGCACAGGAAATAAGAGGCAGTGATACAAGCTCCATACCAGATGCCACCTCCGTTTATCATACTTTTCATCCAGATGATGCTATGAGAATCCAACCGAGCAACTTTACAGGCCAAAAGAGGATCCCCAATCATCAGGAGATGGATATTATACACAAGGAAAATGTCGGGACTGTTCGGGTTCAACCTTCTGAACATGTTCCTCAGGAAACCATGGGAGAGACTCCGAAACAGATTCCAGTCAGTATCCAAAAGGAAAATCATTTGAATCCTGTCTTGCCCCATGACTATCATAGACAACTAGGTGGATTGATGGAGAGTCTCCACATAAATGCTCCTGAAACATATACCAACCCCGAGAATTTTGTCCCTCCAACCGAGAAGATTGGCAATGAAGGAATTCCGGGGGATATGTTTCGAGATAACACGTATGGTCAACCTCCATCAATGCATAACACGGATCACACAAAGCCGAGGGAGATGCTACCGAGTGCAAGAGTTGTTCTTCAAGGCCATGAATCTCAACCTATAGAATCATATGAGAAAGCTCAGTCACCATTTTTAGGTAATCATGGTTTATATCCACATTCGGTGGTTGGAGTCCAGCTCGTGAATCCATCAGAAACCCAATTCAGGAATTCCGTGTATTCTGCCTACGATGCTGCTGCTAATTTACCGTCATCCTTGTCATCGAGTAATGGTGATGCAGAAGTTAAAGATTCATCGAACTCGCTCTTCAACAACCAGGACCCTTGGAATATGCAACATGATGCTCCTCCTCCTCTCAGACCTAACAAAATTCAGATTAAAAAGGGAGACTTTGTTGGTCAAGATCATTTTCCCGAGAACCCGTCTTTGTTGAGCGGTGTACCAAAGACAAGGACTTATTTGCAAGACAGGATTCCCCAGTCGGTAACCATCTCGAAGGAGGATGATGTCAAAGCAGATCAATCAGTGTCCTCTAAAGGTGATATTAACGCTTTCTTATAAATGTACTGGCATTGTAGCTCTCATATGAGGTTATGTTTCGAGCACAATTATTCATCGGTATCTTGGTTTAAAAGGCGGCTCGGAGGAACGGATAAAGCAAGAACTCCAGAATGTTGCTGAGGGTGTTGCTGCATCTGTTCTACAGTCGGGTACACCTTCGGATGCTGAATTTCCGAGCAACGTGGATGAATCCGTTCCCGAGGCTAATACGAAAGTAGAAGTTTCTCTGAGCGGTGATGCTAATCAGAAGGTAAATCCCACTCCAAGGCCTCAATGTACTGTTTCATGTCGTTCAGAAGTGTGATCATTTGTGACAAATCGTTTCTCAGGATATGGGGAACCAATTTCTAGAAAGACTGAATTTCGGGCACAATGTTTCCGATTGTTTGGACCAATTGCAGGTTAGAGACGCCAGGTTTTACAGCCGTTCACTTTTACCGAATTTCGTATATATCGAGTATAACTGTATACACTATTATTTGACAGATTATAAAGGATAGTGATCTCGAAGAATTGCGAGAACTAGGTTCTGGAACATTCGGTACGGTTTATCACGGGAAATGGCGAGGCACAGATGTTGCGATCAAGCGGATTAACGATAGGTGTTTCGCTGGGAAGCCATCTGAGCAAGAACGAATGGTTTGTATGATTGTATCCATTTATCCATCCGATACATTTACATTCTATTTCACAATCTCGGTTAAAATCTTCAAGCTTTTCTTTCATGGCTTCGTAACAGCTTAAACTAATTTTTTTCTTTACAATATATGCAAATGATTTAGATAGATGATTTTTGGAACGAGGCACGGAAGCTAGCAGGGTTGCATCATCCGAATGTGGTCGCCTTCTATGGCGTCGTGGTTGATTCGCCCGGAGGTGCTGTGGCAACTGTAACAGAGTATATGGTTAACGGTTCTTTAAGAAATGCCTTGCAGAAAAATATGAGGTACGGTTTTCTTACTTTGAATTTATTGTTCGGAGCTAGTTAACCTAGAGGTGGGTCGTGTGCTCGGGATTCAAAATTTTGAGTACCACCTGACTTGCGAGTCAGGTATCTGAAATTTCGTATACCCATCCAGCAGTGGGATGAGTATGAGGTTGGCGATGGCGAGAACCCGACCCTTTGGGTTCGAGCTCTGGTTTCGTCGATTAGTTATTCGTATCTGCGGGTAATCCGAGGTCTGGGGCCTTAGCATTTCAAGGCAATGTCAAGGACTGAGAACGATAGGGGCGAGGATATGAGAGGCAGTGTCACGAGAGGGCAGAAGTCATTGTTGCGGTGAGGCGGCGAACACGAGGGGTTTAGGGTTTCCACGGATGAGTCGAGTTAGGATTTAAATTTGGGGATTATATATTTTTTACAAAAATTGGGGATTAGGGTTTGGTCTCCGATAGTTGAAATTCGACCCTTATCTCCGCGGCTCCGCCGCTAATCAATCGTCCCTCATCGCTCTCCTCGAGCATAAGGTACGCATTGGTATCTCTCTTTCCTCTCTCTCCTCCCCCCGCCCTCCTCCGTGATTTCGCTGGCTCGATTCCCTCCTACTCGCTGCACCCCATAGGTACCGAAGCTTGGGTACTCGACCATCAAGAGGCTGAGGGGGCAAATCCCTATTAAATATTAATACTTATATGAGTTAGGAGGCATGTTCACCCATTTTCCCAATGAAATACAGAAATGATACTAATATGTTTTTCAGGAACTTTGATAAGCGAAAACGTTTACTGATCGCCATGGACATTGCTTTCGGGATGGAGTATCTGCATGGCAAGAATATTGTACACTTTGATCTGAAAAGTGACAACTTGCTCGTAAATCTTCGTGATCCTCATCGCCCGATATGCAAGGTCAATCGTCTTTTTAATTTCATTCCTGTCCATTTTTTGTCGATTTTCATTATTCGCAATGCCAAAACGAGCGTTCATATCTTGGTTTGCCACCAGTGAGATGTGTGGAATTTGTTGAATCTCGGTCTCAGGTCGGTGATTTAGGGCTTTCGAAGGTGAAGTGCCAGACATTGATATCGGGTGGTGTCCGTGGAACACTCCCGTGGATGGCACCAGAGCTTCTCAATGGAATCAGTAGTCTCGTCTCCGAGAAGGTTACTCTTCATTACCCATCTTTCTTCATCTGTGCCCCGTGTTTTCTCCCTAACCGACAATTCGTTCTTCTCGATTGTAACAAAACCAGGTCGATGTGTTTTCCTTCGGAATTGTCCTCTGGGAACTTCTAACCGGCGAAGAACCCTACGCTGACTTGCACTACGGAGCAATCATAGGTAAAAGAACACTCTACCCAAATCTCTCCCCATTCGATGTCCCTTTGCAGTTTTACCGGGTTTTCTGACATACGATTTGAAAACTCGGGTCAGGTGGAATAGTTAGTAACACGCTGCGGCCGCCAATCCCTGACCTCTGTGACTTGGACTGGAAACTGCTGATGGAGAGATGCTGGTCTGCGGAGCCATCGGAGAGGCCGAGCTTCACGGAGATCGTTAACGAGCTTTGCTCCATGGCCTAGAACATATCACCTTCCTTCCTTCTCTAAAGGGCAACCTTAAACATATGTTCTTCTCTATGGTCTGAACATTTCCATATTTGGTTTTAGCCATGTTTGAGAATCTCACCCACAGGAGGAGATAGTGTTTCACACAAATGGAAAATGCTTTGTTCATAAAGGTTTTGTCTTTCTCAGTATAATACAATTTCGGATTCAGCGTTCTTCGAGTAGAGATGCAGGAGAGAGACACAGCATATATCCTGTGATTGTTCTTAAGGTAAGGTTGGAGAAAGTGAAGGATTTGTCACCTTGAGTTCGCCGCAATCGCTGATATATACAGTCTTCAGAGGTCTGTTCCAAAGCGACCGTGCGTTCTGCGCTCGTTCGTCTCCGAGAAACTCAGCTAGATCGTTGAATTGTCGAATCCTCTCGGATGGCGTGTACGTGGGGATCGAAGCAATGCTCGTCACCACATCCAATCCTAAAAAGTTTTGAAATCGGAATTTGATTGAAGCGCTATCACAGTGAAATCTAGAATTGGAAACACCTAATTCGCGAGGAGTAATCGGATCGGAATTACAGAAAAACTGACCTTCGAGCACGGTCCCGAACACGATGTTCGCGCCGTCGAGCTGCGGGCAAGGTCCAGGACCTGTAGTGATCAAGAATTCGACGTTCCTGTATTCAGGATCTAGTCTGGTATCATCGTCGTCGTCGTTCTCGGACAAGCAAAGCGAGACGACACCGGGACGAGCGTGAGGGAGAAGAAAAGCCCTAGAATCGACGACCTCGGTGTTGCGAGGCAGATCGGGAACCACCTCCGCCTTATCTCTCCGGCCACTTCCTTGTCTTCCGGCAAGAAAATACCGACCGGGAAAGATCTTGTTAACCGGTGTGTTCCTGTACGACGAAGCAGAGGAAGTGCACATGAGCTTGAAGGTGGAGACTGTGATCGGGACATGGCGTCCGTACAATCCGAGAACGACGCGGCCTAAGAGAAAGGAATCGGAGCATGGCTGAGATGCGGCGGTGATGGTGGAGGAGGATTCCGAGCGGAAGTAGGTGGGGCAGACGGAGAAGTCGAGGAAGACGCGGTCGGTGATGGTGGTGTCAGGCGGAGGAGAGATAGATTGTTGCAACGGAGATGCAGCTGAGATAGTGGTGGTCAGGAGGAGATTCCGGCGAGTGATGGCGGCGGATAGCGACGGAGGGATGATGACGGAAGCCATGGGAACTGGAGGAGTTGTGAGCATGTGAATGGCGCGTAATCAGAAAGGCTAACGTTGTGGGTCCCCCGTTTTCGGGCTGTGGATATTTTTTTTGTCAAAGGTTTAAATGACGTCGTTTTGGTTACATGAGAAGAAACTGGAATTTGGCACGGACACGTTTGTGAAGCAAAACGCTGCGTTTTACCAACCACAACTTCTGTTCGTTGGATCTGGGAATATTCCATTTTTGTCCGTCGGATGAAGGATATTTTCGTATTGCGGTTATGAACAACATCGGGTCCCATGGCTTGATATTTTTGTGAAATATTTGAAGATTTAAGTTTGGGTTTTTCTACGGAATCTGGATTTCAAAAACTAATAAATAATCAATCAAATTTTTATAAAGTTGGTTTTCATAAAAAGGGTAATCGCAAAAAAAAAACCCTATACTTTTTCCATATCAACGAAAAAACTTTATACTTTTTTTATTATCAACTAAACTCTATACTTGATGTGATTAATTTATAAAATCCTATACTTTTTAAAAATTCAACGAAAATCTCCGCAAATACCAACTCAAGTAAAAATGATGATGTGGCAATGGCATGACATGAACACATCATCATAATTATAACAAATCATCATTTAAAAAAAAATAAATTAAATTATTTATTTAAATTAATATATATACATATAAATTTCCACATATATATATATTAAAAATAAAATTATTTGTAATTAATAAAATATATACACATAACTACAATATATATGTATATTATAACTAATATATATATATATATTAAAATAAAAATAATTATAATTAATTTTATATACATACATGATATATATTAAAATATAAATAATTATAACTAACATATATATATATATATAATATTAAAAATAATATGTATATGTATATATATTAGTTATACATACAACATATACATATATTACTAATATACATATTAAAATAAAAGTAACTATAATTAACATATATATATAACATCTATTAAAAATAATATGTATATGTATATATATTAGTTATACATGCAACATATATATATATATATAACTAATATGCATATTAAAATAAAAGTAATTATAACTAATATATATACAATATATATTAAAAAAATAATATGTATATATATATTATTTATAATGTAATTTATAATATATATATATATGTGTGTGTTTTATTAGTTATAAGTAATTTTATATTTAATATATATATATTTAATATATATATATATATAAATTTATATGTATATAAATTAATTTAAATAAATTATGTAATTTATTTTTGTTTGAAATGATGATGTGTCATAATTTTGATGATGTGTACATA